TCTACCACAACTCACGACCTCACAATTCCCTGCGCCTGCCACGAATCTTTCTCCATCCACATGTCTAATGCGCACAAAGTACTGCGCCTGCCACGAAATGTCACCTCCGTCACACCTCGCAACCTCACCATTCCCTGCGCCTGCACTTCCACGCCTCAAAACCCACACAAAGTACTGCGCCTGCCACGAAAAGTGACAATATCATCTCATGTCAGCTTCAACAAAATTTGCACCACACCACACGTTTGGAATGATTTCGACGCGTTCTGAGCACACTCCCATCCACCAAAATCGGCATTTCAGCTGAGACTTGTCACGAAAACAGAGCTTCGATGCCACACCCTGAAACGCAAATCCCAATGGCACGGCCATGTCCAACACCCCAAGAACACGACTCTCCAAACGCTAATCCCAATGGAACTGCGCAGCAACCTGCGGATCTCACAAAACGCTGCGCCTGTGCAGCGAAGTGCATCACGCTTCTTGCGCGACGTGTCATTTTCATGCAAATCACAATGGAATAGCGTCGCAAACTGACACGTGACACATCCATGAAAAGTCACTTGCAAAAGCTTCCCCCAATGGCAGCGCCTTAGCGCTCTACTGCGAACGGTTGCGGACGGTTGCGGACGTAGAAACAACGGATCGCGAACAAGGCTCTACCCCCAGACCCCCAAGAGTTAAACGAGAACCCTTCGCTACGCATTCGGGAATAAAAGGGCACAAAAAAAAATAAGAAAGAACATCACCAAACCGATATTGATTCGGTCCTTCGTTTGGAAAAACGGACCACAATTCATGGTTTTGTTCCCTCCAGTGAAAGCGGAAGAAACGCCACCCCCACCGGGTGAGCTCCCGGCGCAGGGTGGCAGCTTTCAGATCCTTCACCGTCACCTGCGGGGCGACCGGGGGCGAAGTCCTGGGGTGGCGACCTGAGGGGTCTAAGGACGGAGCACAAAACCTGAGGAGGCGCTTAAACCAAAAAAAAATGCATCAGGAGCATAGATCAGTCATGAAAACGTATCATATATGTCATAGATATAGATGATTCTAGATGATCGAATCGATCCTCTCCCCAACAGAGCGACACTTCAAGAGCGAGACCGAGTCTTCTTGAACTGCACCGCTTCCATGACTCATGAGAGTCCACCAAACAAAAGAAAAGCCAACAATATACCAACAGAAAAACATGTTTTACAATGTATATATGTGTATTCAAAATATGACAGATCATATTATGATATATTATGAATCAATCACCAACTGAAGTTGTGAGGTGTTCCAAGACAGTCGAGTCGACTGGCGACACATTCTGCTCAGAATGTTGGACTGGATCTCCCTTCCATCTCTGCAGAGCCCAGAACCCTGTTCCCTTCAGGTCCAGCTTTGGCTGGTAATCCAACCCCAAACTTGGCAAATAGTGCGACTCGTAGACAAATGAGGGTGAGCACTCACTAGGGGGAGCTGGATCCTTTCAGACCTATAGAGCTCATTCCCTCATTCCCTGTCATCGCCATCCATCCTCCATCCTCCATCCCCTGTCATCGTCCCGCCCCTATCCGACCTCTCCGGCAGTCTCAAAGTACAAGGGACGTTCTGCGCCCGATTTCATATCCCTCAAGTGGAGCCTGGGCGGAGTGATGTTGCTGCGTTTGCGATGTTGGCAATGGGGACACTCTGCATCCAAAGAAGAGGTCCTGAAGAAGGTTGGAAGACACCAGGTTCTCTAACTGTCCAAAATGGTGTCTGAACACGGGCAGTAAATGATAGCAAAAGCATCCATTGCAACAACTGGCTTAAGGATAAGAAGGTGTCTCTGCATCATATTGCTGGTATTTGCTGGTATATATTTGTCATTTCTTTTCTCATCTGGCAAGAGAAGCAAGGTGTTTTTTGAAGGGAACCACAAGTGCATCCAGAGATCTTTAAGGGAGTAAGATTGAAGCGAATACATACTAACAGAGGTTGAAGGACCCTATAGACTATCCCATAGGTACCCCAGTAGGGTCCTATCAGGTCACCTGGAATGATGGAATTAATGAATGGAATGTGATTGAGGCCGTGAACAGTAAGGACGTTGGTAGAAATGTTTTTGCGAACATCCCCTAGCTCAGTAGGCCATAGGCGAGTGACGAGTGATTGTTCGCTTGGAGGATAAGCCTTATAAACTATAGATCTCAGTATTCAGCAGAGAAAGCTCTGCTGGATGCCTCAACAACCTTTATTCATTAACTTGTCAGGTGCTAACAATGGAGTTGAAAAGAGATTCTGAATAGCTCCTACCCAGAGCCCCCCACCTGAAGGCTCCCCATCACTAAAAGCTTCAGCGACAAGGGGCGTTAAGGACAACTTGGGGTCGAAAAAGCCGCTCGAGCGGGTATTTCGCTCGATGGCCACGGGCAAATTCGAGACCAGGTGCGGAGCCTCGATGCAGCGAGATGCCAGAGCGTGCGTGAGACGCGAGACGCTGGCGGAATCGGGGCGGATCGGGGTGGGAGAACGAGGGGGTTGGTGTTTGGGTCCGGATCGGTCCCTGTCCCTTTCCAAGAGCCATTTGGCACATCCTGGTTGTGTCTTAGGGTCGACAGAGAGGAGTTGGTGGCAAAGCACACAAGCAGCCGCGGTCTTTTTTCGAGCGAATGGGAGTGACCGGGGACGACGGTCGGGCAATGCCCGGCATACCAAGCAGAAGACGAAAACAACCAAGAAGAACACGAAAAGCTGCAGCACCCCCCCCCTTTGGGCAGTTGATTTTTTTGGTCACCCAAGAAGCTCCAGGTTGGGACCGCCTGGGATCCAACCAGGCACCCGTTTGATCACGGACCGGTGAGCAGGAAGGTTGGTCGTCCACCCTGTTGGTAGGTGGGGTCCAGGGTCGGGTCCAGCAAGCGAAAGCTGAGAAGGTCATGATGTGGATCCCTAGGGTGGAAAGGATCTGTAAAAACAACACATATCAAAAGATGAGTTCAGTTGGCAAGTGACAGAATCAGGTCCAATGAGTGATTGGTGCAAACCTAAGAATCAGGAGTGCGGACGTGGTTTTCCGGAGACCATTGCAACCCTGATACACAAAGTATCCAGATCAGTTCACCAGATCAGTTTCTGTGCCAAGAGACCATTTTCTCCATGAACTGCTCCTCTGTGACGTGGTCGCATTCCCTGCCAATCCACGGTTGGAAGGACTGTTCGTCATTCGCAACGCGAAGGAAGCGGTGGATTACCCATCAATCACACCAATCACATGCCTGTCAACTCCATCCGTGGTCGCATCAGATTACAGGGAAAAACTACACAATAAGACCGATCTGAACAAATAGATACAAACACGGACACCTCCCAAAAAATACACAAAAAAAAAAAAACAAAAAAACAGCTTGCCTTCCAACACTTCTGAAGCTCCGCCCAACAAAACATGGAAGATCCACCTTTTCGACGGCCGTTCCCTCCCGCCTCAAGCCCATCTCGGTGCAGAAGGATTGTGCGATCGCCGCCTGGCGCGCGCGGAAAGGGTTGTAGAGGCGTGGGTCCAAACAAAAGAAGAACGACGATCCAACGATGGAGGTCAACCTGTTAGATCCAACGAGGTGGTTTTGGGGGTGAATGTAGGCATATATGGCATACATGGAGTGTCTGGGTGTTAGATCAAGTTCTTCGCCTTTTTGTTCCACTCTTCCTATACGACCAGAAGCATGGTACGATGGCTTAGCCTGGTCGGATTTCAGAGACGGGCTGTGAAATGATCATGAATCGAACTCTGGAAACATTGTGCAACTTTCAGCAATTGATTTAAACATGTTTTCACCAAACCAACGCGTGTTTACTAACGATTTCACACTAGTCTTGAAACATGCACCGTGTCGAAAAGGCTGTCCACCATGGCTCTTCTTTCGTTGTCTCGCCTTGGTGGCCGCGTCTGCCGTCTTGGCCAAGGCTGTGTGGAAGGTCGCAACCACCGCCAGTTGTAGCGTGGAAGTATCGAGGCGGCCTGTGCGCGCGGTCCCGCGGTCCCGCGTGCGTGGGACTACGGTCGACACACCAGTGGATGGACAACTGTTCAGTCAATCTGTTCATGGAATGTGTCGACATAGATGTCTACTACGTATGATATCACCTTCTCACGGGGGTCGAAGTGATGACCTCGAAGTCTCTAGTTGTCTTGCTGAGGATATCTGCTGTTAATGATCTCTGATCCATATGCTTCAGGGGCTGTTCTCTGATCCATACCGACACCTGGAACCTGCCATAAGCACCATGGCAAACTGTGACCTCACCGATATGAAAAGACTATGGAACTGGCAGAACTGGTATATACCAGGACCATTCAAGGGGTGCCCTGTCTGGAAGCCATCCTAGGTAGTGTGGGGTCCAGCCAGAACACCCCGACAGGATGGTCTTGGTTATAGTTTATGATTGATTATTCATGTTCTTCCCTATTGCTGCCCACCCTCCTTTTGTAGACAAAGTCCCTACAACCCTCCATTCCAAAAACGCACACACACACAAAAGCATCAAAAACACCCACGAGGCTCCAAACCTCGCAGAAGAAAACATCACCTCTTTGAACCCCAAAGCGCTTCTCTGATCTTCTTCGCCTTCCTTCTTGGAGTCCCAAAAGCGGAACCATGCGAGGAGCTCCTCCTGCCAGACGGAGCTCTCGCCGAGGCAACGCACATGATGAGACAATACTGAAGAGTCGGAAGAAACATGCTCACACTCCTCACACTCCGTTTTTTTGTAGGTGGTGAAACATGGAATTTCATGGTTCATGGTCTCTGGTACTATAGGGTTTGCTTCAAGATATTACATTACCGCTGCTTGGATATGGTCAAGGACGGCATGTTTTTCGCTGGGTCCAAAAACACTCTCTGGACCAGGTGTTCAGGACCGTACTCTCTGTCCGACCGGGAACCGGGCAGGTTTTGCTTGGCACGCTCCGAGATCGGACCGAGGAGAACACCGAGCCGGCACCGCATCGCCGGCCAGGGTGATTGGAGGAGTGACCAAACTTACATCCACACGGTGACCGAAAGACGCGGATGGTTCGGGGTGAGAAGAGTGACCGAACGAACGAAAGATTTGAAACCACCTGTGACTTGATGTCACTCCTAGGTTGGAGGCCATCGCTTCTAGGTTGGAGGCCATTGCTTGTAGGGCTTGTACGTTGAAAGCCATTGCTATTAGGTTGAAGGCCATTGCTAATAGAAACAAAGATAATAACAGGTTCTAGACATACGTACTCTCAGTACTACGACATGTAGGCAAAAGATCCACCTTCGGATTTCACACATGCACCAATCTCAAAAAAGACAACTCAAAACCGAATCACTAATATCCAAAGGACAACTCAAAAAGACAACAGTTTCCAAAGGATCCATGTAAGCAAATATATGGCCTGCGTGTGGTGATTCTTGGTAGTGAATGTTGGTCCTACTTGCCTACATGAAGCGTCTGGCATTCCCGCAGGTGTTGTTCCGACCCGACCAGAGTTTTCTGGACACCAAGCTTAATTTATGATTACATACCTCAAAGGGTGGCAATATAGGAAACTAACATATGAAACTTAAGCAGTTTAAAAAGAGCGCCGACTTTCTCCGCCTATCCACCACTTCCTTCCGCCTCACCCGTTCCGCCCCCCCCCGCTCCCTGCCTTCTCCGAGTTGCGGCAGATCTCGGGTGGCCGCGGCCGTGGCGTCTTCACCAGGCGCCGCAGCTGCCGTCGGATCTGCGGAAGCAGAGTCTGGATCACCTGCCGTCGCTTTCCATGTCGGATCACCGGTTTCCGCCTCGTTTGCTTTGAAAACGACTAAGTGGGTCTGACAGGTGTCTGACATCAATCCATGCTCTGACCCCCCCCATCACTCCGTGCAATCTGACCAGGATGGTGGGACTTCGTAGACAGTAGACAGTCTTTAACTAAGCACGAGTGAGAAAACCGCCCAAACCCGCGGTGGCCAGGTGGTGGTGGACTTGAACAAGTCTTTCCGCAAACACGCTGGGTATACGTCGAAATATGATGAAATATGACTTAAAGCATTATAAAGCTAAGGGAACACACCAATATGTATATCATTGTATATTATATATTCCCCCTTCTTGGCACCCAAAACCGCCCTTGTCCACCCCCCATGTTGCTCCTTCGCCCCACGTTCCGACCGGCCTCCTGTTGGCTCACTTCGTGGGCCTCCTCTGAGTCTTCAGGCAGGTTCATGACCTGGACGCACAGTGGAGGCCACGCCGGTGGGGTCGTGAATCACGGGTGACCAATGGTTACCACTGACATTCTTTTTGCAGTACTGTGCCTGGATGTGGATCTGGATGCGGTGCTTTACAGGTCTCTTCTTGGGACCCAAGACATTCATACGGCAAGATCAAGTGAATATCTTGATGATCTTGATGCTTGACCCAATGATATTGTTTTTTTCGACCACGGAACACAGGAGATGACATCACGCAGTGTGCCTGCAAAACGAACCTTCTCGCATACGCGTCATCCACCTCAGTGCTGCTGGAGCACAAAGAGGAAGCTTGTCAGAACATGTCAGACACACGGTCTTTTGTTCCACCACGTCGAAATGTCCCGTACTCACACAAAGGAAAGCTGCGAGGAAACTAGTGAAAGGAAATTATGAGGTTTTTAGGACCAGGTTTGGATCTGGGCTCACTATAGGGGCCTAAAAAGATCTAAACATCATCTTTGGGGGAACTCCTTTGATCAAGCAGCACAAAACGCCTTGCTTGATGTTCCAACACCTGAGCTGTGCTGGAAACCTTGATAGATTGAAAGGTCGTATGGGAAGTCTTACGCTGAGACTTACGCTTTCCTTGCGCGCGCACAGTTTTAGCTTACGCGGCTGGTTTGTGGTAGAAAGGGCTTACGCCAGAGCACTGCACTCAAATTTCCACACCCCTCCAAGAGAAAAGCTTACGCGAAGATGAGTTCATAGCAGGATAGATACACACGCACACAAGGCAGGCGACCATTTTCACGCAGCACTACTTGCAGAGTGACTAGATGATATGCTTGATGAGGACGATGTAGATTCTGCATCAAACACCTGGTCAGTCTTCATGGCCTCACTCTGGCGCTTGCGCTTTCTTGCTTGCCTGCTCAAAGTCTGAGCTGGCGCCATGCGTGGGCAACTGATTAGAAATCGAAGTTGTCTTTACGCAGTGCTTACGCGGACCTTACGCCATGTCTGATCATTCCTTGGTTCATAAAAACAACTTGTTTTCATTGATTGGCCCTTACGCCACTGGTTATGTTGAAAAAACCTTACGCAACCTTACGCGCAGCAGACTTTTGCTTACGCCAACCCTCCTTATGACCAGGCTTAACAAAAATGTAAAGGGAGGTTTACGGCGCTGCTCACCTGAATGATTGCCGTTGTAGTCCGAGGTGACCTGGGTCTGCCACTAGGTCTGCTCCGTCTCTCGTCGCCAGACGAGGCAGGTCACCTTCCTTGGTTGCTTTCTTGCCTTCCGATGCACACAGAAAAAAAACGCCTTGCCTTTTTGGCAGGTCGAATCTGGTCTGGTGCGCTATTCTTTTTTGGATGGCCCTTACATCGATGTCATACACTTTGGAAACCAAGGGCTTGAGTAAGATGGATTTGGATAAAGGTTGCCTCTCAGTTGCCTCACATGCTGATGGATTTGGAGTCTCTCTTTGCAATTGTTGCATGTATAGATTGATCATAGATTGGATATGTATGTTTGTTTTGCTTCTTGGTTCAAGTTAAAAAGGCACACATCCATGACTTTTCAGGACAGCGGGTGAGGAGGACGCGGCGTCCTCCTAAACGCCCGGCGAACCCGGCAGAACGGTCGGCAGAACGGTCGGGCTGCTCCCGGAACGGTCGTCTCGACGGGTCCTTTTTTCGGACTCTCAGGACCCTGAAGTGTTGACATTGCCGGGGAAAAAAAGGATGAAACAGGCATTGAAGTGTTTTGACATGTTTTGAAGTGTTTTGACCTTCTGTTTGAATACATCAAGTTTCATATGAAGTCATGTGATGTCTTTTCACTGAAAAGTGCCTCCAATAATTGAGGCCTCGAAGATCCTAGGCACTTTTGGGTGATTTCCCTCAAAAACGATGAGTTTTGGGATGCAGCTTCCTCATCGGTCGTCGTTTGACCGGTGAACAGCCTGATGTTAGGAGATGTTCGATGAACATCGAGCTTTTCATTCATGTTTCCCGGTGACAGGTCTCCAGAAACCACCGATATGGGGTCCAGAATAACCACCGGACTTGGAAGGTCCGAGTTCGACGATCACCAAACGGAATTCCTGCCCGTAAAGACCCATACTTTGCCTAGCAGCACATGTACAAACTATCATAAAATCAAAGAACTTCAAAGAACAGGTACATGAGTGAGAATCTTCAGTCGCAGGTTTTAGGATTTCACAGGGATTCTGAGTGTGGAGAAGCGTGCCGCGCCTCGAAGCAAACCATGGAGGCTTCTGGTCAAACATGGAAATATGGAAGAACGTGTCCAAGGACCCCTCCGAAAAGAATCCTTCTTTGTGGACTTCACGGATGACTCGTCCGAAAGAAAAGAGGATCGAGTCATCTGACGAACAGAAAAAAACATGGTGATGTGGTTTTCACGCAAATGACTCGTTCATGACCCTGAAAAATGCAGGGCGCCCGGTGGTGAACTCACTTTCCGATTCCAGAAACCACTCCACTTCCGTGTCGATCTCGGGGTCTACCCCCTGAATTTCTCGATCGGGACCCGGTCTGCGGTCTCACATCCGGTTGTTTTTTAGGGGCTATGAAGGGCTGTGAAGGGCTGGGTACACATCCAGATGAGTGTCACAGGGTCACTGAAGGGACCCGGCTGCGACACAACTGCCGGTCCATTCCTTCCAACGCCTGTGGAAGGAGTCGAACTGTTCAAATTTGCCTATAGATTAGGGTGGTTTGTTCGGATGTGTTTTGGGTTCATGATGGGTCAAAAATACTCCACACATGGAATGCTGGGCAAAAATCAAGGCGTTTAGAGGATGGAGTATGATAGGGGCCCCTATATGTAGCAAGGCACCATCGAAGAGCGTTACGCAGTGTGATTTGAGGGTGCATGATGATTCCAATGATTTCCACATCATGTATGATGTACTGTGGATTCAAATATGGATTCCTGGATTCCCATAGATTCAAGGATTCAACATGGATTCCATCCCTGCAAAACGACCTTCCTTGTTCGGTTCCATCCTCCCAACCTCTCCGCTCGGCAAAACGGATTCCGACGCAGATTCTGCGACCCCCGGCCGGAAGCAAAGCTGCGACCGCGAAACACACCTGGAGCCACGCAGCCGTGCGAAGTGCTTCGCACGGCGGGGTGGTTTTCCCCGTTGTCACGTGGTCGACGGGCAGACCTGACGATGCCAGGGGTGGGTTACCTGCAATATGGAGCGTCAACGGAGGAAGAAAAGTAACTTAATATGTGTTTATCCCTGACCAACTTGCAAGTCTTGCGGCGCATCGTGCACGGCGTGAGCGGTGCAGCACATGCGCCAGGTCCGGTCTTCTCAAAGCTAACTAAAGACCAAGGGGTGAGGAAGGTCTTGACGAGACCTCGCTGGCCTTCTCTTCAGAAAATTCCCCATGAGTTCCCTAGCTCTCGTGACTAGGTTTCGGGGAAGACCACACTGAGTGGCCCCCAAGCCGTGATGCAATCCGAGTTCAGGCTTCTTGAAAGAGGCCCTGCGAAAAGAACACAAATCAAACCTATGCAAAACAACGTCCAAAACCGTCGAAACAGGCTGAAGAACTTAATATGTAGTTTTAAAAAACAATCAGTAAACAATCACCCTAAGAAGAACTCGCCATAGTATGGAGATGTAAAACCTGCCCTGGTAGGGGTACGGGAGGGTTGATTCCTCTTGTACCCTAGCCTTTAAAGACAATTGTAGAAGAATTGTTGACCTGGCTCCGTAATTTCGTGGGTTCTTGGGTCAAGACCATTGAAATAATGGTAGGAATCCCAGGGTTCATGTAAAACAAACAAAATGACCCTTTCAAATGACACGATTATTGGACATCATTTCGTTTCAGACCAATACACTTCAATACACCAAAAGCAAGGAACCATGAGGAATCTCTTCATGTCGCCTTTTTGGGCACTCAGACTTAGAGAGGCTCAAAGAGGCTCAGCCGGGAACCTGCCCAAGTCCCCCATCCAAAAAGAGCCCAAAAGTGGCTCCTATCGTCGCGACAAAGTGGCGGGGACACCCGGGGACACCCAGAGCACTCGTTTGCTCATTGAGCACTCAAAATCTTCGAAGGTCTCGTTCAACAAGAATCCACCTCAACAAGAATCCACCAATGATTTGACCGGTTAGAGCCCAAGCTTCTAGGAGACTTGGCAGTGAGGATGCTGGTGTAGATTAACAAGTCTGTCGTTTCACTTCCATGTCTTGAAGGCAAAGGGAATGTTGGTCCAAAGCGATCTTCGAACGAAGGTTTTCCGGTCCTCCTTGCAGGTCCGGGTCCCCGGGTCCATGGCGGGTCCGTGGTCCGGCCATTCCCACGCCTTCTGAAGGTCCAGGTGGCCCGTTCGGTTCCAATCCAAGAAGCTGACCCACTCCTGTGAAGATCCGACCGGCGTGACCGGGGCAACAAAGGGATCAAAAGGGAGAAGAAAACACGCACAGTAATATACCTAGTGGTATATAGTTACCTAAGTATACCTATACCAGCACCCTCCAACAGGTCTCCTTTGGAGGATTTTGAAGGGTTGTTAGGCTCTAACAGGTTTCAATTGGTGACCTGTTGGAGGGTGCTGGTATAGGGGCCATGAACAGGGCATTTCGGATCATTTCGGTGTTTTCCTTTTAGGGTTTTGAGAAACCCATCCCGAGGAGTTTTGGAAGACTTGTGGACATCTGACCCCAAACACAACCGGTGGGACTGCAATGGAAAGCCGATGAAAATCGAAATATATACCGTATACCGTCTTGAATCTGTATATGCCAGGACCCTGACCTCTTTGCCTTTCTAAGTGACCTTATACAGACCCAAGTGACCTCATCCTGGGATATCAAAGGGTCACGTACTGAAAGTCTTGGTGCGTACGCCTACATGCACCCATTCCGACTTCCTTCCCGCCACGATCCCGATGGGGCACCTCAGAGTCGGTCAGGGCAGGCATCACCTTGAAGTTATCCACCTCGCGAGCTACCAAAACGCTCCGTTTTCGGCCGTCCACGAAGGGTCGGCGGCCCCCCCAAAGGTCAGCCGAAAGCGGCGAAGCGGCCCACGGAAAAGCCGCGGCCCTGTTTCGGTGGGTTTCGGATCGGTGTTCCGGCGTGTTCTTCGCTTTGCTTGCGGGACTTGGCCCCAGAGTCAAAGGGGAGCTCGGTGCCCACAACGGCACCCCCCACGAGCGCGCGAGGTCCGGGCTGGTGGGGCGGTGAGTAGGTCGTGCACTTGGAGGTGAAGCCTGAGAAGGTTAAGGTGGCAAACAAGGGGGTGCTTCAGCATGCTTCAACCCCTTAATCTCATAAGGGGCCATTAATAGACACCCCCCTAGACACCCCAGTGGTAGACCAGTCCCCTCACTGCCATGCAGGTCTCAGAAACTTGAGTGGAAGGGTGCTCAGGGTGCTCTCCTGGCATGTCCTGGCCGTACATGATGTAAACCTTTGGGGTGAAGCTGAAGACGTACTCAGCGCTTCAGACGCTTGGAATTCCCGCGCGTCGGCTAAACGGCTAAACGCGCTCCCGGCCTGGCGTCGGGTGAGCGGACTGACTGCTTTGCCCGTCTCAGAGGCGAAGACCAGGCGGTTAGTAGCATGGTTGTGCACCTCGGGTGGTGGGCGTCGCGGATAACCTCGAAACCGTCGGTTTCACCATGAGCGCCCGCTTTCGAGGAATGACTTCTGGTTGGAGTAGATGCTCCCAAATCCGGGGTGTTCCACTGTTGGTATGGAGGGCGCCGCATCTAGAAACTGTGCCAGGACCTACAAGGGGTGGTTGATGGAGACCACCTTACTCAGCCTCGAAAAGGCCATGCCTTCAAAGACGCACTGCCTCAACATCGCCCAACATCCTCCTTTAAACATTGTTTTGATTGCGGTCAAGACGGGAACATCTTCGTCCCGACCGGTTCGCAGCAACCGCTGGGTTGGCCCTCCAACCGCTGTCTTCGTTGGTCAACGGTGGCAGGAGTGGGTCCTCATGGCATCCTCGCGGCATCACTATCACAGTCTACCGCCCGCACCAAGTGGCCCTCCAGTCGTCTGTCAGCTACGAACGTAACAAAGGGCAAGAAGTAAGCTACACTTTTAGCTCCTGGCATTACTATATAGTAACAAGAAGCTACTAGTAACAGAACAGGGGACCACCAGAGTGCGTATTTTATGTGTTTTTGCTGCCTACTTCACCTACTTCCATCTGTGTGCTATAAACTTTCCACTATGGCCTGCATTCATGCTATGTGTCTGTGAAAGCTGCCTCAATGTCCTTTGCACTGGAAAACAAACACAAACAGTCTCGAGAAAATATAGAGAAAACAACAAAACACATTGAAAACAAACAAAAAACAAAAAGAAAATCATACAAAACAACATTTAAAAAAACAAAAAACAACTTGGGAAAACAAAAAAACAATTCTCAGAGACCCCCCCCTTTCCTCAAGACTTCCCCAGAATTGCGTGGTGTTTTCCCAAGTTTTTGTTGTTTTTTTGGCTTTTCCTAGGTTGTTATTGGTTTTCTCAAGGTTTTTTTTGTTTTTTGTTTTCCTATTTAGGTCAATATGTGTTCTTACTATTTTGTTCAACCTTCAAGTATGTGAGCCTAAGTCTCACCTAAACGCATATGCTCTTTGCTCTTACAATGAAAGCGTCTGAGCCCACCACTCCCTTTGTCCTTGTCGAAATCTCCATGTACAAGTCTGTGCATTCACTTCTGATTGGTATCAATGTGGTTGCCAATTGCATGTCCAATCAGCTTAACATGAAACTGTAACGAGACCTTCCAATTTACATGAAATTGTTATAATCTGTGTAAGCTGTAGTTCTAATTCAATGCTTGTTGCTTTTGCTTCGGCTTTGTAATTTCGAAGCATCCCCGACTTGTGCATCTTGAAGCTCAAGCGTTTTACAGATTATTCTGGCGAACTTATTATTTTAATTCCAGTTCCTTTCTAATTCAACTCGCATTTATTTTTAAATAGGTTACAGTTATAGTTCAGTACAAGTTTAGTTGAAATTCGGTTTTAATTCAATTCTATCTTAGCTCTAACTCAAATCAAATTTAATTCTACCTAATTCTATTCTAGATCTAGTCTATTTAGCTTAAGAAAACACATGCTACAAAACCCCGTGTTTTACAATACTTTTTTGCCCCGGGAGTGCTGGGAACAAGACTAAAACTCTTTATTGAAGTAAATAGTTAGATTTTGCTTATTTACAGTAATCACTGGAAATTATATAGACCTATTGAACTTGTTTTATGTACAAGCTTCTAATTCAAGAGCTTCCCTCTAGATCTCTGGGATAATCATTTCTACAATCACAATATATAAAAGCTTTCATTTCAAAAGCTTTCCTCTGGATCTCTGGAAATGGTCATGTTAATTTAAACATGCTATATATATAATATGTTGTTCTTTCAAGAGCTTTCATTTCATGAAAACACACATATAAGGGATATCTACTTTCCCAGAGATCCAAAGGAAAACTTTGAAAATGCAAGCTCTTATCCGCAGAAATCTAGAATAGAGCTTTTAACATACAAGGTTTCTATATAGTTGTTTAAATCTAGAAATGATTATCTGCAGAGATCTACAGAGAATCTCTTGTAACATAAAAGCGTCTATACAAAATATTTCCAAATCTAAACATAATTATAAGCAGAGATCTAGAGACACTTTTATGGCCTGCTTCTTTCCTAATTATTTTGTTCAAAACCATCTGAATGACTGGTTGCTGCTTCCAAAACAATAAAATGACCCTCATTCAGGAATACATAATATATTTGTTCATATAGAGAGAGCAGGAATAGATTATGTATATGTGTTTATATGGAGAGGGGCTACCACTGAAGCATTTACCTAAAATTTTGGGAAAACCAACACCCAGGCCCCATGTTAGAGTAGAGTGGTATCTTCTGCCCTAGGGTGAAACCAGCATCTTTGCATATCTTTAGCATCGAATGATACCAAACACTTTTTAAGAAAAAAACTGCACTCTCACAGTCCCCCGCTCTCTATCAGTCTTACAATTTCAGTGATGAGACTCCTGCGCCCAACGCCCAACTCCCGCTCCCAGATGTGGGACGCAGCAGACGAGTCGTGCTCGTGCGTCAAGCTGCACAGTCGTGGTGGTAGAGCGCACTTTCGACTCGCTTGCCTTCAAAAGTGAGAGCTCCAACCTGTGCGAGAGCGAGCTCTCGCGGGTGCGGCTCGCGCAAATTTCGACGCGCAAAAAGGAAAGCTTGTTCTTGATTGGTTCCTGGCAGCAAATGAAGCGGAGACCTCAAGACCAAGACATCACCAGGTGGGTGAAACGAGGATGAAAAAGCCAGCATCAGAGTATAACTGATGAAACTCAGGATAGCAACATGACATCGTATAACAACAGTGTCACACAACTATATATATATACTGTTGTTTTTCAAGTCCTGTGAAAGACCTCAAGGTTGTCGTCGGGGAGTCAGTCTGGGCCCCGGCTCCGCCACTCCGAGGATTCTCTCAACATGGGACTGCTGGAATCAGCTGGCTGTGGGTTAAAACCAGGATACTTTGGGCACGACCTACCGGCGATACGCCGGCGAGAAGACCTACGCGGCGCATCCCACGGCCCTTCGATCTACCTGAATGTGTCCCTAAGAGAAGAACAACATCTGCATGGAATGATGAATTCACGGATTCATGCCACCACCAGGTCCGGCACAAAGCCAAACTGCTTACATGTTTCGTATCGTCAATTGTCATCTGTGGACTATACCGAACTTTACAATGGGTCATGGGCACTGTGACCAGACCGTCGGGATGGTACGGCGGCTTGAACTTCAAAGGTACGTTGTGTAAGATGCCAATGTCGGACATCGTAGAGTCGGGAAGACAATCTGAATCTGGCGAGAGGGGAATCCTCGATGGACATGGACATATGTTCGCCCCCAACATCCCCCAACCGATTTGAACAAGAAAACTCAGGTACCGCATACGATTTGAAAACTCATGTACCAATGGTTCACCGTTAAGCCCCGTAGAAAAAAAACATGATTCGAAACGCTTCAGCTTGCATGCGAAGTGAGCGTTGCTTTGAGGGTAAACACTTTCGGATCTTGATAATGATATATGGTTGCGCCCGATCGGAGCAAGCTACATGGTGTTGGGGCATGAGATTAGCTGTGAAGAAGGACAAGAAGGACCAGGAGTCACAAGGACCAGGAACTGGCGCCGGTCCTTGGTCGACAACCCTTGTTGGAACGGAATTGGCCCATGGCCCACGTTTCCAGAAGTGTTGGCTTGTGAAGAGCCTTCTATCTAGGGCATGGTTGCTTTCATGTCATAATACTTGAGGAGGACTTCTTTTTTTGTGGGAGCTTGATACTAGAGAGCAGTCCCTCATATTTGCAATGAGATAGCGATTTAAAGGGTTCAAAGCACTTCTTGAGGGCAGCCACCTCCTATACTATGTTAAAGTATGTTGAAGTCATTTCTTCGAAAGCATCACACATGTACATACACACGTTTGCACTTTGCCTATCGGATCCAACAAATTGCGTAGGCCGGCCATTGGTTCTCCATGGTTCTCCCATTGCACCAATTCTTCACCCCGCGGCACCTGGTTCGGGAGGTCGCTGAGTGCTTCGAAACCTGGAACGCGCGAGGACTACGGGGCCGAGTACCGAAGCGGTCGAGTCTGAGCTTGTTCGTCCCCGGGATAGGTTGAAAAAACATGCACACCAGGGCCCTCACACTGGAAAACGTGCAGTTACAAGATGCTACAAGTATACGATGCTTGTTCCAGTTTCTGGGGCCCGGTGCTGTTTCAGGTCACCTGGAGAAGCCAGCCTTCGTCGGGTCACCCGAGGCCGGATCCCAAACGAAGTGGGTTTCGGCATGGATTCAAGGCGCCAGCAAGTTCATCAGCTGCACGGCACGCAGTTGGACCAAAATAGGAAGGCCGGCCTGTTTCTTTCCCCCCCAACAAACCAGCCATCAACCAGCCATCCAGCCCTCTTGGATCTATTCATGTTTATTCACACGTCTTTGAAGCGAATTCTGCTTTCACATGTATCTCCAACAGGTCGTCGCAGGTACCGTCACCGAGTGCCAGTGCCTACAGCGGTACGTTCTCTCGCGTCCAAACCCGTCGACCGGACGTCGTCCGGACCGAGTGGCAAATGGGGCACACCACCTTCTCCACCGCGCATTCCCGAGCCTGGCCCGATCAACACGCGTCCCACGCGTTCAAAAGGTCGTTGCGGTTCCGGTCGCGGCGAGGAGGGGTTCGAAGAGGCGAACAGGACGAGGATCGTGTTTTGATTTCTGTTGGGAATGAGGCAGATCTCTCTCCGGTCGACTTTTCTGACGACGTCCTTTTTAGATCACGTTATAGGAAGGATTCTGTATAGGTTTGAACCAGCCCCAAGATTTGTGGGTGTGTGGCTGTGGTTATCTTCAGAACAATGAAGTGCCTTACATTGCCTTACATTGCCTTACACTCTGACTCACCAACATGGAAGTGGATGGCATGGTCCTGAAAGGAAGACCACTTTCCTTTACAGTGGGGATCTTCACTCACTCCAATTCCGTGGTGATGTGCTCGTCAGAGTATGTCAGAGTGTAAGTCTCACCTCTCATTCCATGGCCAATGGGAGGCTGAGATGCAACTACAGGTGAGACTTACACTGACACTATGTTCTTGTACGTAACTATATACAGGTGAGACTGTGGGTGGACGTTTCTCTGTTCTCACCCCTGCTTTGAGTTGCAACTTCCCAATGTTCGATGTCAATGTGGCATAGCCGCAGCTATGCTACACACCCTCCGCCCCCACAAACAACACGCCCCTACAAGCAAGACACCTCGAAGTTCTATTGTGCGCACGTGTCTTTCTGGTCATAGGCCTGGTCTTGCCAACAGCAAAACTATATGTATAACTGACGCCCTTTAAACCAAAATATGCCTTCCTCATGATCCTCATGTCACTAACATAGCTCGTGCTCAAGAAAATGACCCATTTGAGACACGTAGTATAACGGCACCCCGAAAGGATGGCTATTCGACGAATACCAAACAGGTCGGTGGTGGGCCACGACGTATTCGCTCCCTCGCTCCCTCGCTTCTGTCCACCGCTGCCCCCGCCTGGTCCAACACTTGGGTCACCGAATCGTCCATCCCGACTTCACTTAGCGCGCTTAGGCTGCTTAGGCTCTCATCCTGACACTTTCTCCGAAAGCGGCGCCCGGGGCGTTTGGGCGCTTCCGGCGCGCCAGCGACCATTTTTCGGAGTCCAATTGATTTGTATGTGTTTTTGGTACGTGTTTTTTTTCAGCTGAAGACTCCATTCGTGCGAATCCCACCGTTTGGGTGACGCGTCTGGGGCGGGGGGG